TCCTTCAGTTCTGACAGTCGTGTGGCTAATCTCTACCTTACAACACCAGAACACAGGAAAGAAGCAAATGGCCTTGAAGGTCAGCTCAGGAGCTATGCTATGAATAGATAGGTTGCGTACTGGAACAGGCTGCTGAGAGAAGTTGTGGCTGCCCCATCCCTGGAGGTGATCAAGGCCAGGCTGGATGGGGCTTTGAGCAACCTGGTCTAGTGGGAGGTGTCCCTGCTCACGGCAGGGGGGTTGAAACTCACGGATCTTTAAGGTCCCTTCCAAGCTAAACCATTCTGTGATTCTATGATTAACATGCAGAAAACTTTAGGGAAAAAAAAACAAACCACCCCACACAAGTTTTTATGGGTGAGATAAGTCTAACAATTTATCTGTAGTAACTGACTTTCTCTGTCCTTTATTTAATTACCTGTTTTATCTAATAGAAATAGCTATAGTGCTGACTAAGGCCCCTTAACAAGTTATGCAGTTCTATCATTCAACAGGAATATTGCTTTTTACTAATAGTACTCTCTATTATGTCTGTGTACAAAAGCAATGTGTGTACCAAGCAATTTTGTTAAAGATAGTACTCCAAAAAGAGGAGAGCACTAGTTCCAAATTTATCTAATTTCATGAGCTGTCTAATCTTCTAAATTTATAATGCATTATCATAATAAAGCTTTCACTGTCTTAATTTTAAAAAACATTTTATTTCTAAAGTATTTATTAGGGTAATTCATTATAAATTATAGGATATGCACATATATGTGTATGCATCTCACAGGGTAGAGATCTAGAAAATTTTCAGTATTATGAAGAAGGTTGACAGGGGTGTAGGAGGAATAAAGTGAAGCCAGTTATACCTTTTTGTGGAATCTCAATTTTCCATTGAAAAATACTTTAATTTTCACAGTTCTGAAACTTGCAACTGTAAATGACGTATCACAAATACAAGACTGTCTTCAGAGAAAATAGCTCCAGAAATACTTAACCCCACTTTGCCAGCCACCTGACCAAAGCATTATCAAGAAAACCTAATGTTGATACTGTTCCACAGTTGATCACTGAAGCACGGCAAGAGGTTGGAATGAAGAGAACACTGGAGAGGGCAATTGGGCAGCATCAGCATTATTGTCAGCTACGATACTCCTTACTGAAAACACAAAGGCACCAGCACATAGAAGAAGAGAAAGGGAAGACAGGATGAAGATTGAAAAAAGAATGTAAACAGTAGCAGTCCTGAAAAAACCCAACATTTTCTCAATAAAGGACACAATGAAGTCCTGAATAAATCAAAGATGATGATAAACAAAGGCCTGTTATTACAAAAATGCTGTGCGCTGTATGTTAGGCCTTGGGCAAGTTTCACTATGGGAGTGCCGAATACAGAATGGAGTATTCTTCATTTATATCCCAGCTGACAGATCACAAGCAAAACAGAACTCAAACTTCTGAATACATTGATAGATGGATTGATCATATTCTGGCAAAACAAGAAGAGAAATTCCAGAGTATAGGTGTGTTGAAAAATACTATCCAACTGTGACATGGTTTTATAAGATATGCTACACTAAAATCTCGTGAGCACCTTCCATGTAAAAACACGTGTCAGCTGAGGTCCCGCCACTAGATTTTACATTCTTTCTAATGTGTAGGACTGGGTTGCTGAGTTCATGCCTCAAACTATTGCAGACAAAACATCATACATCAGCTTCACATACTTTACCCCGCTTTGGAGCAGAACCCAGCTCTCGACTTCCAGATTACCGCAAAAGACCACAAAACAATCCTTGAAGTATGATATTTGAATATATATAATTTTAATACAGAATTTTGGGGGGGGGGGGCTCCTTTTTTGATGAGCTTAAAGCAAAGTTGTTTGATCAAAGTTAGCTTTCGGATTAAGAAGAAACATGAGAAATACCAGTCCCAACAATATTTCTATAGCTAGAAAGGACTACTAAAGCTAGATGGGACTACTAAAAGTAAATTCACATACGTAGTGCTAAAACCACATTTGTGTATAACTTACGCTGTTATTAGCCATTATTTAACATGATTTCTGAATTCCAAGATAATTTTAAATATGATCCCTTACTTTTTGTGATGATAATAGTATCATTTAGTAAATGATACTATTGAAAAGTCTGCTCCATGTAAAAAACAAATAATACTGCAGCATATTTACTGTAAAAAGCATATTAGGCAACTTTTCTGCAGTGTCTTCACCTTATTACTGAAGGAAAACACTGCAATATATAAAGTGAAACTCATAGATTCACATTTTTGTGGAAGATGAACAAAGAAAGTAATCTCATTATATAAAGTCAACCTCTGAGTGCTTTGACAATGAATACTGAGTCAATCTTCCCATTAAGTCAGGGTGTATATGACAAAGATGCTCTACTTGAAATGTAAAATTTAATTCCAGCATGATAATTTCAGGACCAGTTCTGCAAAGTACAGCAGCCATGGCACAGCATACAATTGCAGCGCAAGTAACTAGGCACTACTGTTAAACACATTTTAAACTCTATTGTACAATATCCTTTGTCTCAGTAAAGCTATTTTAACCACAGTTCATGTTTGTTCAAGCAAGTTTTTGTACCTGTTTTTCCACTGAACCTGAGCAAATCATTCAGTGACAATTTACTTGGTACATTTTCATTTGTTATCATTCATAAATAATTTATAGCTTTAGCAGATGTATTGCTTTTGCTTTTACATGTGTTTTGTTTTATTGCTTCTTTATTAAGAGTTCATCAAATTGTTCATCAGCCATGCTCAAAAAACTACTTCAATTTTTCAACTGTGGAATTTTAATTTGATTGGGTATCACTAGGTATAGTTTTGGTTGTTTGATAAGAGTCACTAGCCTATGACTTGTAACTATAAATCACATAACTATCAGTTCTTCTGAGTTCAAGCAAAGCCACAAACTATAGTTTCTCTCTGGTCAAGAGATCTGGGAAGAGAGAAGGTGGTGAGAAGAATTTCTGAATATCTTACTTTGATGAATGGTTTTGGAGAGCAGGGAGGAAGGCAGAAAGCACAATACAAAAGAGGGGAGAACAGATGAGAAATACAAAAGGAAAGAAATCTCCAGAAAATCAGAGAAGTAGCAGGAGAATCTTCTGCCATAACTCACTTAATGTAAAACTAATCTTTACTGATGTTCTGCCACATGATTCACATCAGTCTGATGATACTTTAATTTACACTTCAGGCAGCACAGTCTACCTTAGTCCTGAAGGTCCCTCTCTGTTCAGAGTTTAACCTTCACCCCAATACAATCTTTTTACCACTTTCTTCATCTGAAATAATATGCTCAATTCTAGTTATAGATTGTAAAATAATATATTAAAACATTTAAAGTGTATGTTCACACACATATACAAATGAAATGAAAGTGTGAATGCACGAAACATCCTCTGCAGACATAAATTGTATACATACCTTCCTGGGCTATTTTTTTATGTCAACTTCAAAGCATATAAAATGCTAACACGTTTTCACCATTTTAAGAACTGTATAAACATACTAAACATTTGCTATTTGCGTATTGGAATACACTATAATCTTGGTCCTATTAGCCATTTTCCTATGGCTTTCCCACTGATCTATTTATCTTTCCTGACAACTTTGCTGGAAGATCTTTTAGTTGCCGCTTTTCTGTAATTCCACACATATAATTATTGCAATTGTTCATTTATGCCATACATAGTTTTGGTTATAATATGTGAATATGTATGTATTTACACACGCGCACACATACACTCACACACTAGTAACTCTGAATTTTGTTCAATATGCTAATCTAATTATTCATTTAATCTGCAAAACTTTTCCATTAAACTGATTCAAATACTCCAATGTAGCGTCTTACTAAAAGAAAAAAAAACAACCCACAAGTTTAAAGGAAGTTGACCGATTTTCAAGTGTTTTATTTAAAACATACATATAAACTAAAGTCTACATATATACTAACGTTTAAACTTATTCCCTTACAGGTCAAAAACTCTTCCCGTTGAAATGAATGGCATATTTAGTTCAACAGGCAAAAGTTCAGACCTTAGTGCTTTGAAATAGTAAACATTTTATCAGGCACTTAAAAAATAACAGATGCTTCTGTAAATTTAATTATATATGATTGGTATTCTATCTGCAAGACAGATTCACCTGCGGGTTTTTTTTGTCCATAAAGCTTTTTGGATAATCAGGTGAAAAACTGTCAGCTCAGCTGAATGAAAAGAGAGAATTAAGGGACTAAAAAATGAAAACCAGAAATATTCTGTGAACACAACTGGTTTCAAGACTGACGGGATTCAGAAATCCTACAGAGTTGGCCAAACCATCCAAACATTCACTTAGATTTAAGGAGTAAATCCCAAACATATGCTATGAAGAGGAAAGTTACCAACAAGGAACATGCCAATGGGAACAGGCTCTCGTTATCAGCTGTCTCTGCCTCTCCTTCTCCCTGCTCCTCAAGCACATGGGAGCATTAGCACTACAGGAACTTATTTAACTTATTAATCAGCAGTATATCTATTGCCTTTCTATTTTGAACATTTTGTGTACTGTACAACACAAGAAAACTGAAAAGATGAGTGTTCTGCCATAATCTCATTTCTGACAAGAGCTTTTTAGAATTTCACTCTGAATACGGGATGTTAAACACATTTGTACTTAATTCAACAAACGATACACCATATTAATATACAGAAGAAATCCAGAAAATGACACCTCAGTAGTTTTTTTGTGGTTTTTGCGTGTGAGGTTTTTTTTATTTTTTAACTCATTTACTGCCATCTCCTGGTACTTACAAGGTACTAGTATTTATGCTATTTAACAGCAGCCAGTACTCCTGTTCAACACTGCTGAAATGCCAAAAAATTCCAAGAAATATTTTCAAAATATTGCTGTTTTATTTAAGTGGCTGACTTTTATTGTGGAATATTGAATATTGTTACCTGGGCACAAACCGGTAAAAGGTTCACGTAGCTTACCTTCGTCTGGAAGCAGCAGTAGAGTTGTGTTAGGTATGGATGTTTCCGTGCTAATGCCAGAATTCTCTTTTCTGTCATTGTACAGTCTACATCGTCATCTTGAAGTATGACATCTTTCTTCAAGACTTTCACTGCGTATACTTCATCTTTTCCTTTTAGCTCAGCTAACATTACCTAAAACAAGCAGAAATTCTGTTTACATATGGACAATAGATACCATAAATGCAGGGTTGCACGAGTTTGACTGCATTGGAAATATAAAAACAGTTACACGCCTATCTGAATGAAGTTGTACGTTTATAAAATTAAAAGCAAAGTAATGTAATTTTAGGAAAAGATAGCTCTGCTATTCTTTAAATTTGAAACAGATGATATCTATTTTGTTTGTCAGTAAAGAACGCAGAAGATAAAAAAAATTTATCCCCTCATTCAAATATCTTAATGAGTTCCTTTTTAATGAGATCTCAAAAACTAAAAAAGGAAGGGAGTCGATACAGAACAGAAATTTATTTCCCACTTTTATCTCCTGCTTTTGGTACTGAGATTTGTGTGTGATGAACTTAGTATACAATCCCACATGCCATTTTAGCCCCTTTAAAGTTGTTGATTTTAACTACTATTGTTTAAGGTTCAAGTTCTATACTCTGTTTAAGGTCAGTTCTGGCTTGGAGCCAGGGTAATCTTCAGAGAAAGAATTAGTAAACAGGGAGACAAAAGAACTGCTTCAGCCCTGTCCCTCTGCATCTGCAGTTCCCGTATACCAAGGAAGGAAGATTGTACTTCTGAAACAGATTCATATTTCAGTCCTCCTCTTTGATTCCATGGTGCACAGCACTGTGAAAACAAAATCTATAAGCCCTGTAAATAGAGCATTGCCCCTTTGTCGTTATTTCAGCTGGGATGGAGTTAACTTTCTTGCTAGTAGCTGGTGTAGTGCTATGTTTTGGATTTGGGATGGGAAATACTGTTGATAGCACACAAATGTTTTCAGTTGTTGCTAAGGTCTCAAGGCCTTTTCTGCTCCTCACACTGCCCTGCCAGCAAGAAAGACTGGGAGTGCACAAAAAGTTGGGAGGGAAAACAGCCGGGACAGCTGACCCCAACTGACCAAAAGGCTATTCCATACCATGTGATGTCATGATTGGTACATAAAGCTGGGGGAAGAAGAAGGAAAGGGGGGGGGATGTTTGGAGTTATGGCATTTGTCTTCCCAGGTGACCATTACACTTGATGGAGCCCTGCTTTCCTGGAGATAGCTGGGCACCTGCCTGCCAATGGGAAGTTATGGGTGGGTTTCTTGTTTTGCTTTCCTTGCGTGCACGGCTTTTGCTCTGCATATTGGACTGTCTCAACCCATGAGTTTTTCCTCCCTTTTGCTCTTGTGATTCTCTCCTCCATCGCAACTTGGGGGGGGGGGGGGAGGTGGTAAGTGAGTGGCTGTGTGGTTCTGGTTGCTGGCTGGGGTTAAAGTATGACACCCTTCCACCCTCATCAATTCCCTACTGTGGGAAGGTATCTGAGGAGTTACATCTTTGCCCCATACATGGCATTTTGGGCAGCTGTCTAAGCCTTTTGCACTTGTCATATCTGAGTGGAAATGCTTGAGGTCTGCTTCCTCCAGCACTGAACACACCCACTAAGGAAAAACAAGAACACAAACTGTTCTGTGAAATTAGTAAACTTGAACTGGGTATTATCTAGAAAGGGAATGAACTCAGAACTTCACAGCATTATTCCTGGGCTGTTTTTCCTACTTGACTACAACTAATTATCTTGTTGAATGGTATGTACGTAATTGCATGTATGCCCTCATTACCAATATCCTGAAATAGTGAAACATTGACATTTTGTTTCAAAAGGCTTGATCCTAGTTAACAAAGTGAACTAAAGCACAGAAAATGGCAGCTGATCAGGAGGCTGATATTCCTGATATGTGGGGACTGCTTTTACCCAATGGGTAAATAATGGGAGGAAACCCCTGGCGCACAAGCGCTTTCTGAATGTCACTATGAACGGTTTCAAAGAAGTACAGCCAAAAACAGTCTGCACACCAGTTTAAAAAAAGGCTACTCACCTTGCCAAAGCTGCCTTTCCCTAATACTTTGATGAAGTTGAACTCTTCAAGGCCTATTCGCTTGGTCTGGGCCTGTTTGACCTCCCCATTTTCACCGTTCTCCCCAGGTTTGTTAAGCTGGTTGTCTGTCGACGTTGTAGCTGTTGCTCTGTGTTCCTCTCCCCGATTGTCAAATGATAACGCTTTCCTAATGTTGTTTTCCAGCTCTTTGATTTCTGTGGAAATCAAAATGTTCGTTTTAACCAATCATCAGAAACCCAGCCTGTGTTAAGTCTGTATCAGTTTTGAGAAGGGACGTTCGTCATCCCTGAATGCTGTGTAGAGCATTCTGTGGTTAAGAATACATATTTAGCAAACTGCTTCTCCACCTTACAGTAATCAGCCAAAATCCTGCTCTAACAGGAAGGGTGGCCTTTTAAAATGAACCTAAGAGAATGTCATACCCGAAACTTGACAGATAAATCAGAATAGCGGCCAAATAGTTGGTTCAGAGATTTTGGCTGTTCCTGTACCACAGAGAAGTACTTTGTTTTGAATACCCTTATCTTCCTGCAGCACTTACTCATCTTCCTGCTTATGTATTTTAGAGTTGTATCTTCAAAAGTTCGAAGGATAGTTGGGTGTCCCAGTCCTTGAAGTCAACATGAATGGAGCATCTTACCCAGCTCCAGCTTTTATCAGATGCCTGACAATGAAGTGTTTGATCACTCCCTAGTGCCGCTTGAAGCAGCAATTGTGTAGATCTGCTAAATGGTTCTGAAGGTTTCTCAATGCTAAACACAGTGAGCCCTGGTGACTAATGGACCTCAGGGTCTGCCTCTAGCTCTTGCATAGTACTTCTGCCTGATGGCCTTGGAAGCAACAACTTTACTGGACAAAAGTGAAATTTAAGTGAGAATTTAGACAAATTCTTTGTTCTTATTTTAAGCAAAACATCAGATATTTAAAAAAATATTATTTAACCACAATGCCATCTGTGAGACCAAAAGGTTGACAAATTTAAATCGGTTCTGGACTCAGAGTCTTACAGTAGTTATTATCACGGAGCTTTGGAAATCTCTTCCCTAAAAATAAGAGTGAGAAATTTCTTAACTGTAAATAATTTTCAAAGAATTTGACACAAAAGTACCCATCTACCTATGCCTTGGTGTAAAGATTCTTCATGCATCAGTTTACACACATGATGGTACATAAGATACCTCACAGACTTCTGATTTTTAAAAACAACAATAAGACCAGATTCAAAAAGTGCTGCCAACATACATGTTCTGTCCATCAGGCTGTTCATCTCAATGAAATCAGGTCATACCAGTGAAGATTAAAATATTTGTCTCCAAATCTAAGCATGAAAAAAAATCACTGAAAGGAAACATGGTTTTACAAAGCGTTTAGAGACCACACAGGCATGCTAGCATTGCCTATCTGGACGGAAGTTTTTATTATCATAAATGTTCAACACAGAATTGCAAGTAGGGAATTTAATCTCAAAAACTTATTAACAGATAGATGCTTTTCAGACAGATAAAAGCTCTCTCAAGTTCTCTGGTAATATTTAAAATGTTCTCACTCTTACAATAGAATGTATAACCTCCTTACGAAAAGGTATTTGGGTAAGCGAGGATTCATCTAGCAAACTTAAAATATTTCAAGATAACTTCTTATAATTTTCCCTTTAAAAGCCACTTAATTTCAAAGATTTAAATGAAATGAGAAGCAGGCCTTTTTAAAAAGTTGTTGCAGTTCACAACTTCAAGTGCTTCATTTTCTGTTGGTAACTACTTTGTTGATTTTGTTCTACAGAGAGTGGGGCTGATAGCTTTTTTAACTCTCATAAAGAAGGAAAATATGCAACAATATATATCAGTTAGGAAATAAAGAGATGTTTGACCTTGATCACATGGAGAAGTTGGTGCTGACTTTGACCTATCTTCTTCTGATGATGCACTTCCAGGAACTGCTTGTTGAGTCTCTGCACCTGCAATTAGCTAAGAACAATTCCAAAAGGGGTACTAAGCTATGAGATCCTCCCATGGCAAGAGGAAATTTAACTTAACAACATTAATTCACAAGTAGAAGTACAAAGGAAAGTGAAGATGTTCTATCCCTATAGATTCTCACTGGCAGGACCTCAACCATACATTAGATGGCATCACATCAAAAGGAGACCATAATATAAACAGAGAAAGAGACAGCAATTTAAAGCAAAATAGGTTCTCAAGATGAAATAAATGTAATAAGTATACCCAGTGTGTGGGAAAGTTTTGCATAGTCACCATGAGCCTGTGTAGAAATCTATCTGGTAAATATATTTAACTACAACAAGTACCAGCAAGCACTGCAAACTAACTCGTGGTAGCAACATGACAACATCTTTTCCCAGAAGTCACAGATCAATTGATTTATTCCTGAGTTTTCTATGTTTCTGTAACATTTTAAAACAGTGTACATGGGATCCAAGTGTGCAATAATCAGGAAAATGAACAGAACCAAATGTCAAGGTTCTAAGGAATTATGGAAAAAGTTGCCTATTTCTGTAAGTGAGAGCAATGGGTCTGTTGTCATAATCATGCAAACAGAGATACAAAGTGTGGTCAAATTCTGGTCCAGGATACATACTATCGATCCAGAATAAGTCCATCAGGTTTGAATGCACTTGGCGCAACCTACACTTTTTATTTCTAGAACAGCCTAATTCTTCTTATAGTAGTGATGATAACTCTGGAACTGTCATCCAGCAAACAGCTCCTTTTCATGAGAATCAGCACATTGCTCATTTATCAGCATTTACAATGTTACAGAGTAGTGCTATGTCTCAATCAATCAATTATACAATGCCAATTCTGAGCCAGAGACATTTATGGTTTTTATGAACAGTTCTGTCAGACACTGTCTCTTTGTCAAACCTCCTTTCTCAAAATTAGAAAGGGCAAATCCTTCCAGATTCCATACAGACTTCAGGTTTGCAAAATTATAGCAGGTCAAAATAAATTTCATATAAAAATTTAGACTAGATGATTTGCACTTATAAATCAAAAGCCAAAGTCTTAGTTCTGGACTGAAGTAAATAAATTCTTCTGTAAGTCAAATAAATGGGATTGAAGCCCAACTAGTAAAGTTACAATACAGCCATACTTATCTCATTTTTTATGTGACACTAAATAGTAAAGTTACCTTTTTCCTCCTCTGCCCACTATTAGTGATCTTATCTGGAGTGACTCCAAGATCTGCAAGAACTTTAGCTATGCCTCTAGCATCCACTCCACAGTTTGGTGCCACATTTGTTTCACAGCGTCGATGTACATTCATCTTGCAAACTGCAATGAAATGTAAAGTAATAGAGTAAATTAAATACTGCCTTGGCATACATTTGTCTTACTTAAATCAGACCTTATTGGGCCTACCAATAACCTTTTCAAATAAATATAATTTCAGTAGAAAAATACTTCGTTGGATTTGCAGTCACACGTCAATGCTAATATAAAATTATTAACCTGGTTATCATTCTCCTGCTATGATAACGGAGAACAGTGTTTTCACACAGTACCCAAAACAGACACAGGAACAAATGAAAAAATCTAACGATCCTGTAAATCTTAAATAGAACTTGAATGAGAAGAAAAGTCCTTCAGAACTTGGATTTTAGCAGTCCACTTCTGCTCTCATACTGAGAGCACAACATCAGTTCCTCATGTATTATTGCTTCTTACTCTATTTTACTCAAGTAGATGAACTCCTAATGTAGGCAGGCATAAAGCCATTAGTGTTTTAATAAAAATCTTTGGCACTGTTGGACACTCTTTTTTTTTTTCTTTCGTTAGATGGCAATCCATTTACTGAGCTCTTTCTCTTAAATACCATCTCCTGAAGCTAGCATACTAGTAAGAGGAAAAAAAGATTACGTTGCTTCCTGGTTATGAGGTGGGGGGACAACATAGCTCCAGTAAAAATAGAATAGTGTGGATTTGTTAGGAGCAGATGACATATTTTATCTTAGACTTCACTGCCCTCTTGTGGAACAAGGCATAAAGAAAGCAAAACTGCAAGTGTAATTAAATACTAGACTAACATTCAGTTGCTCAAATTCCTCACTTCATTACTTTTTAGAGAAAAAAAAATATCAACAAAGTATGTATTTATAAAGCTGCATTTCATTATATCAGTCATCAACAATGCTTCACTGTATCTACACAGGCACTGTATCTACAGCAGTAACCATGCGATTTAGAAAGCGGGTGCCTTTCCTTTTCAAGTATGTTTCAGCTCACAAGAAGAGCAAAAATAAATTGCTACACGTAGTACTTTCAGTGCATGTATATTTGGTGAGAAAAGCTCAGTGGCAAGTAAAATATCCGACCATAAGAGTGGACATTGAGGAACTGAACTGCTTGAAATAAAGCAAACAGGACAATTTTGTACAGTCCGACTTCATGAACATATTTTGTAAAGAGAAGGTCAGGAATAAGTAGTGAAAAAACAGAAGAATAAACCTTCGGAATACACTTTTCATGGTGTTAATAACCACACTGGGCAAGCAGGTACATCACTGAAGAAGGAACCACTGTTTGGCACTTGTTAAGAGAGAAAACAAAGTCCACAGAAAAATGACATTACCAGCTCAGGTAAGTTCTAGATTTCATGCAGACAATACTGCATTTTTATAGGCGCTCATTTTATGAATGTGGAGAAAGCAACATAGGCCCTCTGAACTACTGTTTCTATGCATTTGCTACACAGTAAACGCATACATATGAGAAATAACATTATTTTCTACAGTTAAGAGGAGATGAACCACTGTAGTACTTGAGAGAGAATATGAAAGTGAATTAATATAATCATAGATTAAGTGGAGAGATATTATAGCTCTGATTAAAAATCAGAGAAAAAACCCCCAGGCTTAATTGCAAAAACCTTCTTTGAACATATCTCCACCATAATTAAGATAGCATTTGAACAAAATCTTTAATAGTAGTAAAGTAACAGTATTTAGAGTCTAACGCGTTATCAGTGCTCACTAGCTAGAATCACAAGGGAAGGCTTGAATTTCAGAATGCTCTCACTGCTTATCATTTTGCCATGAAAGAAATTCCTTCTTTACCTTGCTGCTCAGCAATCTGTGACATGAAACATTAGGTCTGACCATCACCTATACTTACGTCTCATCTTAAATACTGCAAAGGATATCTTGAATAGATTAGATGCTTATACATATAGAAGTGACTCCACACTTCTGCTCTTGAAAAGTATACATAACATTATTTTTATATTTATGAAGAGGGACCTACCCGCTCGTAAAGGTGTAACAAAATGAAAATACTTACAATTCCATTAGATACTACTTTCTAAGAATCTGACAATCTTCATGAAATCATTCCCATCAACCCAATAATTGAAGTATTTTATTCACTATTTCTAAAATATTAGTTTCCTTTGCAAGTGTTTGTACTGTTTTCTCCCCCTTTTAGAATATACAGATCTGCTTGAAACAAGGAGATAGGGAACGAACGATTTCTGTTAGTCAGCTAAAATGACATGAACACACCTTCCAGCAGTAACTTCATATGCAGTTGCTGTACAGAGTACACAGTCCTTAAGCTGCAGAACATAATGAATCCTTTGCTTTCTGGAATGGAGGGCCTAGACAGACCATCACAAAAGATAATTTAGCTAGGTATCAGAATACCTATTATTCTGGATACGGGTGCACAGGACTGGTTCTGCCTAGCCTAGCCAATACATAATAGTAATTTCTGAAGATGGTATTAAAGGGAAAAATGGTTGTAATAATGATGTTTAAAAAGTTTAACCACCGTCACCACAAACCTGAAAACACAAAAGGCATATAAGCTGAAGGGATGTAAATTCTCATGCTCCTAATTTTCTGTGAACTTCTAATTTCCTATGTGACAATAAACCTACACAGCAGTGAGTGCAAAATGTGTTTCTGCACCTCTGTCCTCTGCATCTGTTACTGACTGGTGTGGCAGACAGGGTAAAGGACCATTTTCTAACCACGATGGCAATCACCACAGCAGTCCGCTATTTACTTTCTATTCATTTCTGTACATGCTGGAAAAGACAGAATAACCTGAAGTCTTTCCAAGTGTACTGCACTCACAAAGAACAAGAAAAGCTCTGAAGTGGTAATCCTTACCTTTGCATTGTAAACCTTGTCTCAAAAGACCCCAGAGCAATGAACCACAGTGGTCACAGAAAGTGGGCACTTTGTAATTGTGAATGCTGAACTTGTGAGGCATGTTGACACTGAATCGCTGGGATCCCACTTGCTGAAAAAGGAAAGCACAGCATATTTCATTCTAATTAGCTTCTATATAATCAGTGTACGCCAAGGCCCCGTTGTGTTTTGGAAGCACACAGAATTCAAACAAGACTAAATAGGTCCGTGCGAAGAGAATGATCTTTGCATTACATGTACTCCAACTCCAGAGTTCTTGTCACTACTTTATTTGGGGAAAAGAGTGGGAAGGGCTGCTGCTGTCCGAGAGATAAAGACTAAAGTCTACTTCCTAGTAATTCTGGGAACAACAAATACATAGCTATCAGGAAAGATCTCTTAACGTGGAAGGCAAGGAAGTCACTCCCAATTGTTTTAGGAGCAGGAGACCTAACTAATACAGGACTAAGACAGGGAAATATATCACAACCCCTTTACCTTTTCATATCCCACTCTTCTTTAGATTATGAAAATGACAATGATAATTTGTTTTGTTCAGGGATTACAAGGTATAGTTACTTACTAATTAAAGGATGTCATTGGTAAGTTTTTATAGTGGCCACTGCATAGCAGGAGATTTATTTTGATGTTTTTCCTTCCCTTTCCTATTACCACTGGCTTCTCTCCAGTGATCTAGTACCCCTTCTAAACAATGAGAGCATTATATCAGCAAAGCATACAAGTCTCCACCAGTCTGGAGCCTGGGAATATAATCTAACCAAGATTTTGTATCTTCCTGTGGGTACTATGCGAAAACAGCACTAGCCAAACACAGTCCTTTATCACAATCCTATGCAAGCGATCAAGTTTCAGATGTAAAACACTGGTTGTGAACCAGATATTAAAGAATGTTTCCATTTTGAAAAATGGTAGTGAATTGTGCAGGAAGAATGAGATCAGTTAATGTCTCAGTAAAATTCATATCAAAGTTGAAAGAGCCGTTTAATCCCATTGTTACACACAACTCTGAATTGTAATTTAAAACTAGGGTTTTTAAGGATACAAATGTAGTTTTTTTAACAAATAAAACTAAGAAAAGTACTTTTTCTGCATAGCCAAGGAACTGGGATCACTCACAGACTACCTCACCTAATCCTATGATGAGAGATTGTAGGCCCTTGCTGCTGCACAAAACAGAGAAGGACAGTGAGCATTCATTAGATTTTCTGTTAAAAACAAGCAAACAGAAACCTTGTGTATAAAATAAAGCATTCACGGGTTACAGGTGAGGGCTACAACTCTTTAAAAAGCCCATAAACCCTACCCGCTCCCCAACTGTCCCCTGTCAACCCATCCATAAAGGGATACCCCAAAGCTGAGGATTCTAAGGGAGCTGAACACAACAGCAGTCACATCACTCCCTGGTGTATGACCCTCCACAGGAATTAATGTTAATTTCCCAAGCAAGTCTAAGGAAACATGGTCTAAGGGCCATCTTAGCCGAGAGACCTTTAACCCAAGTGAAAGGATTGCTTTGTTTTCTCTTCTGATCCAGAGCAGAATGTGCCATTGGCAGATAGATTTACCCCCCTGACAGCACAGTTCTGAAGTGATGTCTTCATTTATTTAAATACATGATAACATAAAGCACATATTGTGTTAACCCCCTTAAAATACAAAAGCCTGCTAGAGGTAAGGAGTAATTACGCTGGAAAACCTGTTAGCTATCCAATACCTTGAGTTATCACTACCATCTTATACAACATCCATGGGCCTTCTTCAACACACAGATGGTTTTTGTTCTACATTTTGACAGTTTGGATGCAGTTTTTCTTGACATAAGACTGCGAGCAAATTCTGGACAGTCTTTTATGTTGATGCAAGATACTCAAGCACACTGCCTAACCTATCAGCTGCTAATGACTCAGCCACACAAAATGCAGTTAAGGGACAAAGGGTCCCAGCCTGCTTCTCTTGCCTTAAAATAACAAAACTTGTATTAACTCAGAAATGGAGAATGTTAAAAATGAAAAGGAGTGGAGGGAACTCACTGGGACTTTAAGCATTCAGATGTTATAAAAATTGTACTAATTAGAAATAAATCGCTGTATAATAATTCCCATGTAAATGAAACTGTTATGGTAATCTGTCATTCTAAAGTATATGCTACATCACAAGACGACCAGAAGGGCACAAAAGAGTCTATAACATATATTGATTAAACAGAGAAGATGATGCTACTTCGAACAGATGAAAGACAGTTTTATCTAGAAAATGTATTTTATAAACATTTACCTCATCGTGAGTTTCCTGTTTTTTTAAGCCAGCACACTTCGTTATTATAAGTTCATGGCATCTCTTGTGGACTACACAAGTGCAAACTATAAACATAAAACAGATAAAAGAATGAGTTTTTATGAAGATTAACTTTAAAGCAAAAGACTGATTTCAGAAGACTGGAAATGCTGGGACTTGAAAGACTGCAAGTGACTGCTGACTTTGAGTGTCTTATGAAGTAAATCTGGCTTACAAAGGTAGAAGATAATGGACTTCCAAGAGACCAATGAATTTTAAGAAAACTAAAGCATATCTGCAAAAATCTCAATATGTAACACCACAAATTACCTTCTGAAATATTAACCACAATTTTGCTCAATTTTTATGTATTTGCTTTTTTATCTGATAAAGTCCATGATCTCCACATTATATAAGACGCAGTGGCAAAACCAACTCCTGTCTGAAAAGCTTCCAGAGGAAAAAAGACATAAAGATAACTCATTGTAAAAGTCAAAGAACAGAAAAAATGAAGTTGAACATTCTTTCTGTAAAATGTTATCCTAAGTTGATAACAGTAAAAGGTTTCAGGAGGCAAAAATACTTTGTCAATATTCACACTGATTACTTAATCAATGAATAACATTTGCAGATATGACAGTTAAAATTAAAAATTGCAAGGTCTATTCTACTGTGGGATTCAAGGTCATTAAGTGAAGAAAAAAAACCTTCAGAGTGAAATTATGAATTTCATTTTCTATCTTTGGTCATTGTTGTAAGAAAAACAAAAATCAGAACTCTAGGAACCTCTGCTGTATGTTAATACAATAATTCTTATTATAGCATGTAAAACCATTATTTGCTTTTATTTAGTTACAATGAGATTGTTTGATTATTTCTACTTGTCAGATGAGAATTAAGTAGAAAAACATCATCCCAAGAGGTGACTGTATAAAACAATAAAAGTACAAGAAATTGAGTTGAAAGATGGGAGTTGAAAATGAAGCACTTCTACAGTCTTTGCTATAACCTTCTCTAATGATGACCTCTATAATTATCTCATCTATATAATTATAGTCTTTGCAGCTACCTGGCATTTTTAAACAAAGAATCTTAAGCAGAATAAAGAATTCACAATTTTAAAATGCAAGAAGTGAAAAATGAAGAAGCCAACACCTACAGATATGCCCGCCTTAGTTGGATGTGCATCAAGAGATACCGAGGATCTGCTGCTGTGCCCCTACCTCATATATACTGCCTAAGACCAACAGTTTTGAAAAATCTTCCTGTGACTTACTGTAAAGACTGTCTTCAGTGAGACAAACTTACTCTGATCATTTTGTGCTAAATTCTTAATACTGTACATATAAAATGCTTGATGAAGATATCTTATTTAAATATTATAATGTAATACATATATTCAAACTGTCCCCCTGTAGATTTTCTCTTACCTTGACATTGGTATCCCTGTTTTCCTATTACACCCCTGAAAATAAAAGTGTTTTAGAAAATGAAGAATATATGTTTTTAAAAATGAAAAATACATTTACTACATAAAATTTACTATTAAAGACACATTTACTATAATAACATAGGCAAAGCCAAAGAGTACATAGAGAAGGAAGCCACAAGCCAGTAAAATAGTCATCAAGCAGGCCTCTAAGTAGACAGATGATTGCGTTTGCCAATATTGTTGCTTGAAATCATCTTAGCTAACCTAAAACCTCACCTGCAGACATTTCTTAGAGGAATGTAGTTGAATTCATGTACAATCCATTACACACTCCTAAGAAATATTAATTATGTATACACATCAGATCTTATGTGTATAAAGGTGCAAATCAGTATCTCTAGGTAACTTTGGAAAACATCAATAGAGTTGCTGAAAAATAACTGAAAACTGAATGGCTCCACCACTGTTCCTTATCTGAAAATTACGAGTACTTAAAATAAATGTAAATAATTTCTAAAAGGCAGTACTTGACATACACTGTAATAAGAAAGACCCTGTACGCTGAGTACCCAAACCCCTGGATCATTACAAGTCTAATATTCCCATGTTTCATCAACTTCAGTAGGATGTATAGGAGCTTGGCATTTCCTAGGAGGAAGATAGTGATACTCAAGCACCTAAAGTAGAATTCAGTCACCTTGGCAAAACATAAAGGTCTAATATTAAGTCTAAATCTACACTTAGGCATCTACAGCACATGACAGTGGCTGTCTACCTAGAATTTATAGTGTGTCCCAGACAGGAAAAGCTTATACTTTGTGGCTCAGAGGACAGAAAACACAAATACAACAAATTTTAACATTTGTGATGGAAGTTTAACAGTTTTCTATTAATATCTGCAAAACTGATGACAGCTTAATATTAAAACAAAGAGGAAAAGAACTACTACTCTATGCCATTTATACTTCAGCAGAACAGGAGGGTATGTTAACTCTTCAATTCAAAGTTGCAAAGAAAGCTAAGTCATACCATATAAAATCTCTGCAGTGCGAACAATATGTTGGTTGTCTAAGATAGGTGGCCATAAACTTGTGTCCATTAACCTGATGTACTCTGCGTCGCACAGCACCCTGCCGCTTTCTGGGGCGCATACGTTCTCGGAACACACGTTCTTCATTGTCTTTGGGTGCTGAAACAGAGGAAAAAACAATAAGCACTGGTTATATCAGACACAAATATGGGAAAACTCAAATGCAATACAGAAGTAGATATTCTCCAAAAATAAAAATAAACCTCTCTAGCTAGCAGTGCAAGATGACTTCCTTAAGTTGTGGGTAATTTTTTTTCTTTTTTAGCATCAATTACTAAAGGGCAAGGGTTTACATTGTCTAGTACAGAACTTCTATTCATTCTAAACCTTTATCTGTAAATTCACACTAAACTGAGAATAAGTCTTCTGTGCTTTATAGCTATCAAGCACTCCGACAACCTCTTTAACAGCAATTACAGTTACATTCTCCAAACAGTTCAGACTCTCATCTCATTTGATCTTCGTCGGGGGGGGGAGAAGGCCCACCAAAAATCCCAACATCCTCTGGTCCCCATACACTCAGAAAGTGCTGACACAAGTACAAGAAAGCTGAGTACAAATACATATTATCAAGCAGAACAAAAATTCCAAACTAATTACTTTGTATAATTCCTGATTAAGATCTGAGCTTCAGGCTCTAATAATCCACTTTGCTCCAAATACATTTTCAGCAAATTGTTCAAGGTAAGGAAGTTGTTCCTCTTAAGCAATTCCTGTTCCATTGCATATGAGATGTAATGGTAGAGGAAATAAAAAATGAAGTTGGTATATCTCAGAATGAAAACTTTTGGGAGAAATCCTCCAGAGTGCATCAGTTCTTTTTTCCCCAAGGCTTTATTTTGAAAAGGATCACTAACACCTCCATAGTATTCTCTATGCATTAAGCAAAAACTGAGAATGAATTAGCAACGAAGAATAGTACAGAGTTGTTAATGGAGGACAGATTTTACAAACATTCCTTGAGCCACTCATGTCTCCACAAACTGGAATATCAGATTGGGAAGAGCGCACATTCAGTCATCCATTGCCAACTGCATCTATGCACTCACTACTTCACTGCATATAACACTTTGAAATGTATTTAGCACTTGTCATTCTCTGAATTTCAGCTACCCTGAATCATTATAATGGCCTAAAGATGCCAACTTTGGTCTGTTGCAAGCTTTTCTGTACACCGAGTCAGTTCTCCAAGCAACAGTACAGTATTTAACAATAACACAAAGAATATTAAAAGTCCAAGAAAACTTAAATCTAAAATAGTCTCAAATTCTTTTACATACCCTGAAAGAAACCCTATTTTTGAGTGTTCTAAAATTAAAAGGTATTGATTTAGGAGTTCTTAGAAAATGGTCTTACACTAAGCCAACAGATGGATATCCTGGGAAAATACAGAGCACAGACCCATGAATCGAGATCAATTTCTTGCACTGCACAACAAGGACTAAACCCCATGAATAGCAAATTCATTTATGCCCTAAAAAGCCTAAGCTCCTTACACATTAATATCTTACAAAAACTTCATATTCAGAGTGGGTTTTCACCCTAAGATGACACATTTGTGGGATGGCTGGAACGGTATTACTTTTCTATCCTAAGTGAGCTCTCAGTAAATAAACATTGACTTATACACAAAGTTACCCCTTTTGTTTATGCCAAAGAACAGACAAAAAGCAATGACTCTAGCTCCCCCTTCAAGAAAGAGATAAGAAGTACCAAATGGTTATCAATTATGTTTATTTTTATGCATTAAGCAGAATTTCAATGTCTAATAAATACCACAGCCCCTCAAGAGAAAGCCTGTCTTCCACAGAGAATAGCAAACAAGTAGTTGGAAATCCTACCAAAGACTCCTATTTCCAGGTTCTGAATGATTTATTGACTTTACAAAGCTGCTGGAAATCTTTTAAAAGTCGTTACTATAGGAAATAATTTTATATTAATACAGAACTCTTCTTTTGGTTATCATCCAGATTGTAGAATTTGCTAAAGTATGCAGCCTGAATGTGAGAAAGTTAAACACTCCTGGAAGGGGTTCCCAAAAAGTTATCTGCTTATATGAAATGCACAAGATGTTCTGACAGTGAACAGTTCACACTTGATATGATAATCAGTCTACAATACTGCTTTTCTCCTTTTCATCTTAAGCAGAATTCTTCACAGATAAAGCACCTGTAATTTTACAGAGCAGATAAAAATCCTCTTCTTGTTTTGGCTAGAAAAACACATTATTATGACTTTTTTTTTAACCAACAAAGTCTTAAACCTAATTTTACTGTATTACTTTCAGTTCTATTTTTAATACTCTTATGAAATTCCATTTTTCACTTACAATACATAGATAAAATAAAACAAGAAAACAGTGTCTTTTTCAGAAAAGCACTGACTTGAAAACAGATACAAGCAATACACCAATCCTGAAATTATCAGATTAAATGGCAGGTCTCAATTATCGATATCATTTCCAAACAAACAGCATCTCTGCGTGTGAGAAGGATGTTCAAACACCTCAGGGAAATGTAATTTTCTTGGTTTGTCTTGGATAACGTTGGAGGTCTGTTAGCCAGTTCCCCCAAACTCTCTCCTATAAGTCTGCTGTTCCACATTTATCACTAAAGACTGTCACTCGGCCAAATCCGTGCACCGCATCCTGCTTTAGTGTCGAACTGCACAGATGAACTGCTTGTTCAAGAGCAGTGACTCCCCACCAGTGACTCTGCCTCCACCTCACCTCTCATTACAGCCCGTGTAGAGCCCCCCCCAAGTCAGCAGCAGTACTTGTTTGGGGGGGGGGGTGGAGTAGCATCTGGCACTAACAGTACTTGACTGGACACTGGATGACTGGACACCAGCCTTTCATCAAAGCAGACCAAGTCACAAGAGCTTCTGAGTCACACTCAGTTTACATTAAATTCAGCTCGCTTGTTCACTGTTACCCAACAAAAACAAATAAGCAATGCTTTTCCACAGTCCTCAAGCAAAACACTGCCCTGTCTTGCACGAAGCACACCGCTGTTGTGGACCACAGGCAGCAAACTGGGCAGTAACTCACCCAGGTGACTCAGATGCGGATGATCACATCTGCGCTGGCTCATCCCCAGGGTTGTGAACCACTTACTTCTAGTTGCACTAACAATAGTCTTATGTTTAAATTAAAATCTGTTTATCTCGTGCTGAACAGCCACACTAGAGACATTCATTTAACTGTCTGAAGATGTCTCCTTAGAAAGGGAGCTACATTGCTCTCTCCAAACTTCTCTTGCTTTCCACAAGCAGGAAAGCAGAGATCCCTAAATGCTATCAGAAAACAGGGAATACTTGGGAAACCCCCCAACGTTTGTGTGATACAGCCAACTACTGTTTTCAAGACATACTTTAGAGAATATTAGCATCCCAAATAAAACTGGCCTTTAAATATATTTTAAAAAGAAAAAAATCTTACAGTAGTATATGATAAATTCTAGAAAATATCATTAGGATTCCACATATTTCCCAATTAATGGCATTTCTATTCTTGGCAGAAGAGTTCAAATTAAAATTAAGTGGATTTGCTGTAGTCAGTCTATAAGCAAATTCCAATAGAAACAATTTCTTCTCACAGTATTTCTACTAAATAGTCACAGAGGGTTATCATTTCCTCAGTAAAAGCTGTTTCTTTATGTAAAGTACATTCTGTTCCCCATTTTGATTTTGAGTCCTTCAGCCCTTTATATTATTCAGTTTATCTTTTTTAATGCATTTATTTAACTTTCATTTTTAAAAGAAGGAGTAAAAAAGGCTCATGATAATTTCCAAATGTTCATGGAGACTACTGTCAATGCAGCACACTGAGTTTAGGCTTTATATAATGGTACTTGAGAACTGGCAAATTTAGAACTAATTTCATCTCAAAACTATACCCAGTAATGCCACCACTTCTTTTCATTGCAGCCAAGACTAACACCAAGTTATTTGGAAAACAATAGTGTATAATTGCTTTTATAGACTCATACGTACATGGAAACATATTGCCTACAATTTCAAAGACTGAAAAGACTTACAGGCTTAACTGCAAGCTCTTAGAGAAGTGTTATAAGAGTCAGAAATATTTGGAATGCAAAATTGCACTAAATTCATAAATACTTGAAAAAAGGATGTTTAAATGAAGTGTCTAGAACTACATGTAACACTGTTAATCGTATAGCGTCTGCTAAGTATCCATTATAAGTCATAACTTAAAAGATAGGAAAGTAACACAGAATACTCCCTAACCCTCAAAGGGGGCAAGATTGGAAGAAAAAGACCCTGCGCACCAAATAACAAAGGCTGGAACATGCCAGGTCTCATTTTGTACTAAAATGGTTTCAGCATAAATGAGAAAGGAGTGTGGAGCACTAACTACAATGGACAGAATTATCCTGCATAGCAAAATGTGCTATTTCCATTCCTTATCCTCTATATTGTGAGTACTTACAGAATTCTGACAATGCAAAAAAGGAAAAAATATTGCAGAAAAAGAGGGAGAAAGATTATACACACAGAGAGGTTTTTCAGCATTTGCTATTGCTCAGAACGTTGACTTCTAAAAGGGAACGTCCTGGGCACTTCCCTTCATCTGGAGGTGACTGGCATCAAACAGAGACAGTGTTTGGGGAAGAAAAAAAATAATTATCAGATGTTCTAGTTAAATGGCTACTGCCCCATGAAAGCCAAACTGTAGGCCATGTACAACGGTAACAATCACAGCAACTAGTGTAGCTGCCAGGTGACACCCATGCAGCAGAACACTGACACCTCCATGGCACTTCTGGCACACAGTTATTTTAATCCTGGGCACCTTTTGGGTGTCTTCACATCGCTGTCATCTGTAACTATAACTAGCATCCAGAAAAACCAGCTGGTTTAACATCACCCTTAGTAGTTACAACAGAGCCTAACTGAACAATGGATGCAAAGGAACAATGATCATATGGATGTTTTAGTGCTGAAGATTCATTTTAAGAGCTCTTGTACAATATTTAAACCTGACTACTTTAACCAATATGCATGTACTGAAATCGAGTTTTTGTTTTAGCACTATATAACATCTAAACAGAGGAAGGATAATGAGGCAGGAAAGGTAA